GGACAATCTATTAATTTGGTCCCTATAGTGAGAAACCACAGATTCTTGATTTTGCATATCAAGCTTTAACTTCTCAATCTCCAAATTCTTTTCATTCAGAAGACATTGTAGATTGTCCCTATCTTGAACTAACCCTTTGCCTTTCTTAACTGCCATGGATAATTTTTCCCTAAGCACAGCTGACTTCTCCTCAGATCGTTCATGATCTTTTTGTAGAGAGTCCTTCTCTTCTTTCGGTCTTAGAATTTCCTCACATGCCACTTTCAACTCATTTGATAGACTGTTCATTTCAGATCTAATTATAATCTCCTCTTCTAGCATATCCTCATAGAGCGTTAATTCACCATATTTAATATACAAGAGACTTCTAATTCTTTCAAGCATTTCATAGGAAGGACCCCTATGTTCTTTTATCATTTGGAAGCAGCTGTTAATGATCACAAATGTATCGGAAGAAAATATATCAATATTATCATCTTCCAGGTTAAGGCCGGAGAGCTCAACCATCATTTTCACAATATAATCCTTCTCCCGTGAAATTTGATGACTTTTCAGAACAATCTCTTCATATTTGTACCTCAAATTAGTCAATTCAGATTGAAGGTAATCTTTTTCCTGCAATCCCATCAAAAGTGATATACTTACGTAGTCAATACAGTCTTCGCCTGATTCCCTAATCACAGAAATTTCTTGACGCGAAACATTCATATCATCCCTGGCTCTTTGGAAGAAGCCACTAAGCCAATTTATTTGGGATTCCAAATTTGATGACGAGACAGGTTCTGGCATCTCTATCAGAGATAAAGCATCCTTCAATTTTTTGAACTCTAGGAATGCATCTTTAAGCATATTTCGGTCATTCACTTGACATCTTATTTTCTCTTGCACATCCAACAATTCAGTTTTATCAGGTTCAGTTCCAGACAAGATTTCTTTTACTTGTTCAGAAAATGTATTACTCTGTTCTAAGGAATTCTTAAGGGATTCAATCATATGTTCACTTCGGACCAACTCCTCTTTTGTAATTTCAGCAGCTTCTAGGACAGCTGACTTCTCTTGCAACTCCATCAAACAGGCCTCAAGCTCATTGGATTTAGAGGCAAGAGACTGCTTTAATGCGTCGCGCTGTTGCACCAATGCCTTTCCTTTTCCCACTGCCTTGCTAAGCTTTTCTCTGGTGTTGGCATAATTAAACTTTTACTGCTCGAGTTCCACTTGTGTACTTTCAAGTTCTGCATTCAATGTCCTTGTCAGCGCCCTCACCTTGTCAAGCTCCTCCACCAGTTTCCTTTTTTCGTCATCCAATTGAGCAAGTTTTTCAACAAGTTCTTCTTCCTTTCTCTTGAGACCTCGTAATTCATCACAAGCAGCAATAAGAATGTTTTTAGCACAGTTCTTCCCCCTGGCATCCAATGCTACCTTAGAGAAACATTGTGCAAGGTGATCAATTTCAGAAAGAATTTGATTATAGTTTTCAATCAAAAGAGAAGTGCCTTTTTCAATATGAACTATTTTGCCACTAACAGAATCATCCAATCCTTGCTCCTGATTGACTACTGTTGCAATTGAGAATATTATTTTATCCATCACAATCTCAATATTATGATCCTTTTCAAGCTGAACTTCTGAATTCTTCTCAATTGAGTCAAACGAAGATGCAACAGATGCAGCGACATCATGTGATACTAATGAAACAGCAAACTTTGTATTAAGGTCCAGTATCTCTTGATCTTTCATGGAAAGAAGGGCATGAAGGTGCCTTATGGTAGCCTCGGAGTCTGATCGTTCTTCAGAAGTGGTTTTGGCAAATTCCAAACAGTCAGTTATCACGTCCTTCACTGGAATATTGGCCATCTGAACCTCCTCATCCCTAATTTCAACTTTAGCTTCATCTGGTAATGACTGCTTAACAACGAGAGCCTTTAGCTGACGATGAAGATTGAGCACTCCTTGGGCTAAAGTTTCTCTTTCTTCCTGCATCACGAATAATATATGAAATTGTCTTATCGATACAAAATTTGAACAAAAAATATAATCTTACATTATGGAACCTTGTACTGTTGCGCAATACTTTCTTCATTGGCAGTGGTCTTCATCATTGTATGCTGCAACTGTTCCGGCTTCTCTGCCAAATAACCATCCCTTATCTCATCCCCCAGTTCATTAGAACGACTCTGCAGGTGCAGAGCCTGATTTTCTTCAAATTTCCCTTTCACTTCTCTTGCCTCAATTTCTTCCTTCTTATCAATTATCCTAACATTCTGTGTGCTAAGCTCATGCGGGCAATCAACAAATGTATCTTCTTTCACAGTAGCCGTATAGTTTTCGTCAACATGATCTCGCAATGTACCTGCCAAAACCTCATTATCCAGATCAGCACGTTCTATCTGCGCCAAACAATTCCAACAATGTAACGCACAATCGATACCCTATCTGCTCAATATTTGAATGAAAAATTAGCATCTGTTCACTTTCCATAGCTTCGGTGCCTGATTATTTTCAGTAGAGGGTTCAGACGAGGATTGGGTAACTCCATTTGATTGTTTTATAGTTTGATCTGCATGGCCATGCCCCAAACCGGACGTAGCATGAACATCCGGAGCCATAGCCACATATTCATTTCCATTTGAGATCCCCTTCACATTTTGCTCTCGGCTTCCTCCAGCCTCATATCCTTCCCTGGCCCGACATGTGATTCTCATTATTTTGCTCGAAATTCGCAGGCATTTCAGTCGCTCATAATCGAACTGCCACTCAAACAAGATTCAGATCTGCATCTAACATGTGGATGGATCGGAATCGTTAAATACGATCAAAAGCCAAATTCAAGGTAATAGACAATCAACTTATCAATTAAACGAACCAAAAACATAAAATTAAGCCTGTGGAGAAAAATGCAAATAGGCGTTTATCGCCAAAACTGGAGAAATGATCGTCAGGTTTGAAGAGTGAGCAACTCGAGAATTCAGAGTGATTGCGAACCAAACTTGAAAACCTGAGGCTATTGGGCGAAATTTTGGAATTCCGTTTTTTCCCTGAATGCTGAATGAGAAAGGGATCGTTATTAGTCATTTGGAAGCCTCTTGCTGGTTTCCAATTGGCGCCACAAAATCAAGCTCCCGCACTTGTCTTTTGCCTTTTAGTTGGTTCTTTTGTTTTTAATGCATATATACGCTTCCGGTTGTTAATATACTCTTCCGGTTCTTAATATAAGATCTATTTGACTAATTTGATTAGATTAAGAAAGTTAGGTAAGTTAGTTAATTATAAGAAATGTGACATGTTTTTCCTAAAACACTATGATCATCTTTCTTAATATCTTTCTCCTTCTTCTACTTGATTATAGTTTAAGGAATATCTATAGGGGTAATTTAGAGAAAATTGATAAATATGAGAAATAGGTCTTATATTTAGGACCAAAACCAACTCAACAATTGGGTTCTATATTAAGGATCGGAGGAGTAATACCCTTGTACAAGGGTCATATATTTAGAACGGCGAGTACCTATTTATTTAATTTAATATAAAATTTTATTTTAATCCTTTAATTTTTGTAGGTGTATTAATAATACTAGTAGTTTCATAATAAAAAAAATACTACTAATATTGAATTTTAAATATTAACAAAACATTCTCAAATATTGACAGATTAAGTTTAATTTTTAGAAATAAGAATAATTGTATAAAAAATTGTCATTTAATATTAACAGTATTTAAATTAAAATACTAAACACTTTATAAAATTAAGAGACCAAACCATAATTTTATTTAAAATTAGAGGATGAAAGTTATACCTTTACTTCTTTTAATTAGTTTACACCTTCAAAAAATTTTAGTTATATTACTAAAAAAAAATAAGTGTATAATTTTATTAAATTTATGGACTACTTTCACGCCCAATATGAATTTACTGCATCCTCTTCTTCAATATCTTTTTAAGAGACTTATTGCATGCCATTTTTTTTCATAAAGAATATAACGCTAATTGATGGTAGTAAGAAAAAAAACCAATTTTTTGTGAAGAAAAACGAACTTGATGTATCTTTCATTCAAAGTATTAAGAAAAAAAATTCAATATTGATTTAAATTTTAATAATATTTGCATTGGTAACAATTAATTAATTAATTTAATTTAATTGAGAACACCTAATTTAAGATTCAACGATGTTCTGATAATTTTTAAATATCATTGTAAAAAGTTATATTAAATTTAAATGACAACAAACAGTCTTATTTTATTAGATGAGAGGCTGTAGGCTAGCATATTAAACTTAAACCTCATATGAATTTAGGGTCTCCATGAAGTTGATGTCCCCATCAATATGGTGTGTTCTACTTGGCAAGCAAGAAACTCACAAGTCATTACATTTGACCCGTCTACTTCATACAAAACAAAACAACCGCTCTCTGGATAACTGTTACAACGACCTCGTTATTATGTCAAACTGCAGAAAGAGATTGCTTTGAAAACCGAAACCAAAATGGCCCTATTTGTGGGCTTATTCGTCTCAATGAATGCTTCAACGCCACATAATAATATTACTCCATCAACATCACATAATAATTTGTGCTCCTGTTTGAATTTGAATATAATTAAAATATTCTATTTTCAACCATCCCCATATATAAGAACGACCCCCTCTCTTTCAATTCGTCAAAGATTTATGCTGAACAGAAGAAGAAAATAAAGGGGCAAATTCTCGATGAAGTCGACATGAATTGTTCAAAAACAAAATTTCCAGTCCCCATAAATGCTAAATGTAGACATTTTGAACAGGAGATGGTTATGCAAAGAAAGTTATAGATCGGCGGCTAAATATATATTAAAAAAAAAAGATTACTTGGTATATAAACAACAGATTATCAGTTAAAATATTCTAGAAAAACAAGGAGGAAGCATTTTATTTTCATTTCTTCTCTCACTTTCCATTTTGCAGTCATAAAAGCACCTACACCCACCTTGTGGTATGAAATATGAATGTATGACCTGCTCCAACAAGTAACACACAAGATGGATTTGAACAAAGGGTCCTCCACAATGACTTCTAAGAAGGGGACCCTTACAATATACATTATGCATTGTCTACAATGACATATAATTATATATGGACTAAAATTCCATAACTTCATCTTACCAGAGCAATATGCAGAAATGTCTAGAGATATTTCTCATCACCAGGCTGTATTCACATTTGCGGCCTGGCCTTCGATTTCTGTACATGGCTTTTCACCATAATGTGGAAAAATCAAATTAAGTATTCATAATACATTAGGAAGAGTGCATCTGGGTAATCTTTAGGTAAGCTATTGATGTAGAGGTAGAATCGCAACAAGTCCTCCTTGGACACTGTTTCGGCATCGACAACGTCGTCATTACAGGTTAGCACCCATAAGTCCTCTGAATTAACTCTCCTCAAGCTACCGCGACAAAATGGACAAGACTCTGACCTTCTGTTCCTGCAAGTACACAAGAGAGTGTCTAAATTCACTAACCCCATCGCCCATGACTCAACATGTTTTTCTATGCATTATATGTAGTTCAAGAAATGAAAATATACCATTCACAGCTTACGAACAATATGACTTATAAATTTATTTGGCAAAAATTTTATATGTTATATTAATAGTTGATTATTTGATCCCTAAAAACTTTGATATACACAATGCAAACCCCGAAAATTGTTTACTTGCCATTCGCAAGTCTTTTGGATCAAGCACAGTCGCCTCGCCTATTCCTGCTTAAGCACTAAGACTGACCAAAACCAATTATCATTGAGTTTAAAAATATTCAGAAGCATGTATCATTACAAGACTCTAAAAAAACATTTCCTCAAGGTTTTTTTTTTTTGTGCAAAGTCATCCGTGGGTTCACTCGCTGAGACCACTTATTGAGAGTAAGAGTTAATTGTAGACAAACTGGAACTTTATATGGTGGATTCCCTGTAATTATGCCTGATAAACAGGCAAGTAAACACGAACTAAACCTGCAACACAATGAGCTTACCACTTGCGGTAGCATTTGATACACATGGCATGGCAGCAATTAGGCAAAACCATTTTGGTGCAACCCTCCAAGCAGATTCCACATTCGTCCTCTCTCTCAAGATCCACACTGCTTAGTCTCCCATCTGCTTCGATCTTCTTCTTCTTAGAACTGGAACCTTCTATGCTCGAATAACCTTCCTTAGGAACTTCCAACTTCTCCAAGCTCCCCTGAAGCCGCTGGAGAGATGGCAATATAACGGCTAAAATTCAAATTTGGATGACACAAACAAATCAAGATATAATTAGTAAAGCAATCATGATCGATCATTTTCTTTTTGTAAAATAAAATAAAGTTCCTCGTTTGCAAGTGAATAATTCACACACCATAAAAGTCCCTGATGGTAGCCTTCCTTCCATAAGCAGATATGGTTGATCTTCCCTCTTTGTGAACCTATTATAAGTAGAATAGGAGGGCAATGAGGAATAAGACTCTGGTAAACCTCTCCCATAAAGAAACACTGGAACAATACAAAACCAAATTTCTAAAAAGAGCCAACAATTCGTAAACATGCACAATTTGGAAAAAAAGTAGCCCGTGAATGTATCCGAACCATATTGACCACTTATATCCATCACTTTAAACTAGAAATCTACACTTCACATTTTATCAGGTGAAGGAGTCCTTGTCGTTGTCAGCGTCATGTTCATCATCCATATTTCCTCTAGCTAACAATAAATAAAACTCACCTTATAGATAAGCACATGAAAGAAGCTCAGATATCTTTGAAGAAAGCAAGCGCAAGAGCAATCCATCCATTGTAGCAAGAAGAGAAAGAGTGGGGCCCAGTCATTGTAAACCAATTTCATCTGAAGAAGAGTCCCACCCTTGGCTCTCGGAATCGCAGCAGCCCTAAACGGAACAGACCCATAATCCAGAATTAGAGGGGCGAGCGGCCCCCGAAAATTAAATAAATAAATATAGTGCTCCCAGATAAATTGACAATAAAATTAGGGCTGAATTCAGAATTACAAGTTCAACGAACAAGTTTGTTTATTATACGGTTGAATTTAATCGACATGTAAGTCGGAACACGACAAGCGACGAAGTACTAACGAAAAGGCTTTCATATGAGTATCAGGGTTGATAACAAGCAAAATAATCAACAGTAGAGTATCAACTACGATAGTGATCGCGACGAGTAATTCAACTTCCCAACGCCTATGACCAAAAACTGCTAAAACAAACAAGGACCCAACTTGAAATTCCTCATGATTTTTCAAAATTAACACGATGATCAGAGAAACAAAAAAGAATGAGAAGAGTCGAAAATTAAACTTACAAAGCATTGGCATGCTGAATATCAGCCTCCAGCATTTTGAGGGAATCCTGGTAAGGTAATCGGGAAAGCTGGTACGGCATCATTTCCATCTTTCCCTGGAATAAAACTTTGTAGGGAAGAAGAATAATCAACTGGTGACTAATTAGGTAAATAGGGCCAAGAAAAGGCAGAAGTGTGGGACTGAGGGTAATAATCAAGCGAAAAGCAGAGGAGGAAGGAAGATAGAGAGAAAGAAAGGAATCGATGAAGCAATGAAAGAGGCTTTTGTGAATTTAATGGGTTTATATGAAAGCTTTTTTCAACCTTCGCCGCTAAGGGCGGCTCTGGATATAGCTCTTGTGGCGAAGACGAAACGGGTAAGGGTATGTATGTATGTTCTTGCCGTAGAAGAACGAATATTGACGAGACGAGAGGAGACGATAACTTGGGTTTGTTGGGAAACTAAGCGCCGTATATTCTCTCTAGTTTTTTTTTAAAACAAAAAAAAAAAAAAAACACCCGCTACGGAAAGAAATGGACAGGAAAAATATACTCCTGATTTGGACATAAATATAAAATATTAATTATTTTTTAAAATTAATTTACTTAATTTATAAATTCATATACAACTTAGTGTTGTATTTGGATATTTTAGAAAAATCATATTATATTTATTATGATTAAAATTTATTTAATTTTTTAATCTATTTAAATCCAAATTAATTAAATAGTTATTATAATTTTTTCCCCCATAAATAGTTATAATATTCAGAATTAAAAGGAGTATTATTTTTTAACATAATGGTAAAATGATAATCAAGAGCTTGGGAAAAAAATGATAACCAAGCGATATCAAAGATTCACCTCTAAATTATACTTTGGGATGCTTAGCACCGTATATTCTCATTTAATCATAGTTCTTAGTATTGTCCCTTTTGAGGATGTTAAGTTGCTGTTCAAAGTTTATTTCTAATCAATACCATTATAATATAATTGCAATTTTAACTTAAATCATATTATGAGGGTAAAATCAAGTAAAAATATCTCGCGGCAAAAGGGGGGAAAAAACTAATTTCTCTCACAATATTTGGAGTTCGAACTTCATGAATAAAAAACAAATCATATTTATGAAGCTCCCCCTAAGTAAGTCGAACTTTGATAATGCTTCTTTGGGTCCTTTTATAAACGTCAATAAACTGTTTTACATAAATAAAGAATTTTAATTAAAATTAGTTGTTTATGGTAAAACCTCAAAATTATTCTGGAGGAGTTTCATTAATTAGTAACAGATTTTATAGGTTAAAGTATATTTTTAATCTTTTAACTTTATAGAAGATTTCAATTTGGTCCCCTTATTTTTTATCTTTTAACTCTAAAACAGTTTTAAAAAAATTATGATATTGAGATCTCAAATATTGATAAAAGATATGTTAACATATCAAATTTAATTTTTAAAATAGCCATGATTGTTATAAAAAAATCTTATTGTTTAATACTAATAATTTTAAAATTAAGAGACAAAATATACTTTTTAAAGTTAAAGGATCAAATTAAAACATGATACAAAGTTAAAAGAGTAAAAGTACATTTGAGCTAATTTTATATATGGTTAGGAAAACTAAGTAAAAAAATTAATATTTTAAATAAAATATATTATACTATGAAATATATATATATATATATATAGAGAGAGAGAGAGAGAGAGAGGTTTTTATATTAAGTAATAGATAGATACCATATAATCTATTGACATAACATTAAGAATCCTAACAACTTGATTAATTTATAAATCATCCAATCAGTGCACAACACCCATACGCTACTAGCTGTATATGTACACACACAACTAAAACCAACCGCTTCCTAATGCCCAACTACTTATTAAACAGGAGAATACACATCCACCTTCTTTTTTCTCTTTCTTTTTGCCTTTTTTTCTGATAAATGATCGTGGGCTGATTTCCTTCCTATACTACTGTTTAAGAATTGTAATTAGAGGATTATAATTAGACATGTTTCTCCCTTTTTAAGAAAAACATACTTTTCTGCATGGGGTATTTTTCTTGCAACTGTTTGATGAGAAATTATAATATAAGAGCTTAATAACTAATTTAGAAAAATTAAAAAAAATTAACTAAATTAGTTATTTGTAACAATATATATTAACTTACCTAAATTATCCTATCTAATCATGTATATTAGAATTATTTCTTTGTGAAAATTCTTTATAACCAATAGTGATATTTTTTAAAAAAATTATAAATTTGATATACAAAGTGGATTAAGATATTATATTTAGGATCAATCCAATCTTCATCTAACTCTAATATTTAAAACAGGAGAAAGTACTTTATGCTGGTATTATACACCCTCCCCAATTTATATTGTATTATAAATCACTTCCAATTATCTCACTAAAATGAAGAAGAAGTGGTTAACTTATTGACATGGTTTGAAATGAAACTTCTTTTTTTTTTTTAATTTTATTCAAGATTATAGAGAAACATTACATTAAAATAAAGTCCTTCTGGAGTAAATTGTAACAAGGGCAATATTTGAAAATTTGTTTATTAAAAACCCATAAGTGACTTATAATTAAAACATATTTTTTTAAAGAACATCTTATATTTAGGATCAAGAAAAATATAAATTGACAAAAACTCGATGAAGTCACTGCTTCATCAAACTTTTAACCAGCTTCTAATAATATTGATTCATTCACTCAATTGAATCTGACCATGCTTCATAAAAATAAAAATAAAATCAAAGCATTTTGAAAAACTTAATGGTTTTCCTTTTAGAAAGGGACCTATAGAATGATTTGATGATTGATGAGGATAGATTCTTATATTTAATGGTTGGCCAAAAAAATATTATTTTATTTAATCATTGAACAAGATATTATACCACTATGTACTATATGCTAATATTCAATTGTATTTCATGGTTTAACGATCTACTCATCCGGTCTTTAATAAAGGACTTAATTGTTAAGTTAATTTTAATCCTAAATATAAGACCTATTTCTCATATTTATCAATTTTTTCTAAATTATCCCTATGGATATTCTCTCAACCATAATCAAATAAGTGGGGAGAGGATATTAAAAAAAGATGATTATAGTGTTTTAAGAAAAACATGTTATATTTTTTGTAATTAACTAATTTATCTAAATTTTTTAATCTAATCAAATTAGTTAAATAGGTCTCATATTAAGAATGAAAGAGTAAAGTACAAAGGCTAATGTTCTGTATGTGTTTGTTCAATTTGATGAGTGTATAATATTGTACATTAAACAAATAAAAGCGTGCAAGTGAATGGGAATTTAATTAATACCATGAAATCAATTATTTTATGGCTCTAATCAACAATATTTTTTTCGAGTCGTTTTCATAGGAAGCAGAAGACAAATTATATAAATTAAAATGTTAGTTAAAATTTGTTAAAGGTAATAAATATATACAAATGCAATTTATTTGTCAAAATTACCATATTTATGAAAAGAAAGAATGACCGAATATGATAATTAATTTAGTGCGACTGAACAATAATTAATAGGTGAAAATTAAAAAATAATATGAAAAATTTCAGACAAATATTAATATCTTTCTTAAATAATAACATATCATTATTTTCTTGTAAAAAAAATCACACATATATAGAACTTGAGGAAGTGTAATTATGACTTTCTATTAAAAATAATCTCCCCCGTAGCCACACATATTCGTCCTATGGAAATTAATATACATGAAATGAGAAAATTAGTTATATGTTCAAAGGCTTAATAAGTTGAAAAAAAAGAAAGAAAAAAGAAATACTGAATGGAATATAAAGAGAGATTTCCGATTTCTGATGATGAGTTGGACCTCGGATACTTATTTATTATAAAATATAAAATGAGCTGGCGGACCAATCATCATTTGATTTTGAGTTTATCCAATTTCTGGTGGCTGGTTGACCAAAAAAAAATTTCTGGTGGCTGGCTATCCATTAATTATAAATTATTTAATTAATGGTATTCTTCACATGAAAGCAGCAGTTCTTAAAAACTTTGAAATTATTTTTTTTAATTTTAAAATAGTCATCGCTTAAAGCAATGTATAAGTAAAGTAATCGACTAAACTGATCAAATGACACAAAAATTTTAACTACATTTCAGTAAAATGCGTTTATATTAATTTTCTAGTTATCTTTTACATTTTTTTCTCTCCCGTAAAATTTTTAATCCTTGCGTTTAAAAATAATTTAACTTTATAATTTTGGTCTTTATTTCAAAGTAATTGACCAATGGTGATTTTAGGACTCTAATAGTGTATTGACTGCTTTTATTGCTGGCAGTTTTGGGCTTAGCTCTTTTTGATTCTTGATATTATGATGGTAGGGAATATGTCAAAAGATTATAAAATAGTTGAATATAAGGATATTTTAAAATTTTGTAAAAATTAATTATTTGGACCTTATAATTTTGTCTCAATTAAATGGTGTCACCCAATCTCAATAATTTTAATGATTTAAAATATTAGTCCTTAATATTCAATTTTATTTCTTAAAATGTAGGGATTGATATTTTAAATGTTTTAGTAGCATTTAGTTAAAAGTTTGTGAACTTAATTTTAATCAAATTAAAATTACAAGAGTTGAGTTGTTCTAATTCAAAGATTGAATTATAAATGAATCAAAAATTTGAAATGTAAAAAATTAATTTTTCCTAAAAATTTGTTACGAGCTACCCACTTTTTTTTAATAATGTCCAAAATGGTCACATATAGTCATATAGACCAAAAAGAAAAAAAAGAAATAGGACATCTCTAAAAATACATATAACGATTATTTGAAGAAACTTGAGATGTTTTTAAAGTAAAGTTAGAGAAGGCAACCAGTTTGATGACTGTACATTAAACAATCGTTATGTATTTTATGGATCTAATTAACAATTCTCTTTCCATTCATTTTTATAGAATATAAATAACAATTTACATAGATTAAAAAGTTAGTTTAAATCGTGAAAGATAAGAAGTATATAAAATATAATTTATTTTAGAAAAACACCATTATTTATGAAGAAAGAAAATGAACAAATAAAATAATCAATTTACCAAGACTAATCAATAATTAATTGGTATACGAGACCTTTTCAAACATAAAGAGCCATTCAATTAGCTGAGAAATATGGTGAAAATTGAAAGGCAAAAATAAAAGTCAGAGATATATATAAAAATAGATTACAGTTGATTGACTTACATAAAGAAACATTATGATTGGTGGCCCCAAAAAGGAAAAAGAAAAAGCAATAACCATATTATTAAAAGTGAGTTTGCGTAATGAGAAAGATATGCGTGTCAACATTATTACATCCTTCCAAAGTTGAAGGAAGCTTTTGTGTATATGTTGA